ATGGATGGATGGATGGATGGATGGATAGATGGATGCTGCATTACTTAGGACAGATTTACTGGTACACTATTAATCTTTGGATTATCATCATGTCAAGTATGTTCTGAAGTTTTTCATCAACTCCTGCCTGTTTGAAGGATTTATTGAATGAATAGATTTATTTAAACACACAGGAATTCACCCAAATGTATTGAAACAAACCCAAAGGTTTTCTGACCTGATGAGACAAAACTGTCTCATGATGGGTTTGGTTTTATTGTTGTTGTTGTTGTTGTGTGTACCAAAATTCATCTGTATTCATCTGTCGTTAATGAGTGCATTAAAAATTTATGATAAAAACTATTTTTTATGTTCAAATTCTATAAATAACTTATTGAAYTTCATTATTGAGCTTTTTAAAATCCCAATGAACTGTGTGCTAAATTTCACAGCCAATAAAGAAATCAGAAAAAGTGAGCAGAGTCATCTGTTTTATATCGTCTGTTTAAAGTTTACCATTAAGTTTTAATATCTATGAATAAATAAGACATCACGCACTGCTGATGTGCATTTTACTGCAGTGGGTTTGATAATATTCCTTTAGGGTCCGACGAATGTAAGTGTGAAACACAGACTCACAGTTAGAAACAATCTCTGAGCTCCCACCCTCTGCTCCACAGGTCCATCCACCTACTGATCTGCTGCTTCACTTGGGAACATGTCAGGGTTACACAGACAAGTTCAAGTTATTTAACTGAAAATGACTTTTTTATTTTATCAGAACAAACCTGGCTGGTCACACAGCCACAGTGATAAACACACAACTCATTAATGTCATTAGACTTCTGTGAGAAGTTTAAACAGAGGAGAAGCTGACTAACAATAAACAAGAGTACTAGCAATAGTATATAATACTCCTGTCAGTAAACTGTCAGAGTAATCATAATCCAAAGCATGAAATTCCTGAACATACATGTCTAACAGTTATATATAATATAATATAATAATTTATAAGGTGAGTCAGAAGACACAGGACATCCTTTTAGTTCAAAAACAGATAAAATGATATATGTGCATACCTCACAAAGTAATGTGTGAGGGGACATATGTTTGGAAAAACTTGTCCTGATCCAACAAGGTGAGTTTCAAGAAGAATGTAGCTTAACGTAGAGCCCTGACTCAATACATGAGAGTATTTAAAGATATTTCTCTTTACTTTCTGAAATAAAGAGGTGTCCTGTGACTTTTGACTCAGCCTGTACATAGTAAATAGTCTATACTTACTGTATATGGTACTTTTCTATCACACCAGGATACTCATAGTACTATACAACACAATATGTACCCTCATTTATCCATTCACACGTTCATTCATCATTACATGTCTCTGTACCAACCTAATCTGGACAGATTATTGTGTAGATTAATCAGTGCGATCGATCACATTCATGGAAGAAGAACTTGTTCAGAGCTGTAGGACAGATAAACAGTGCCAGACCATAATATGTTTTATTTTACGATAAGCATATAAAAAGATTATAACGTATAAAACACATGTTGATTTGAAAATAACTTTTCTTCATGTGATGTTTTAATCAGAGTGTTTCCACTGTGCTGTGTTTTTATTATTATTATATCAACAGTTCATCAGTTTATTTCAGTCATGTCTGGGCCACCTTCAGCATTTCTTGCACACTCAGCAGTTTCTCTCTGGGTTTCCCACAGGCCTGCCCCCTCCTCATCTCCAGGCTGTCAATCTTCTCCCACTTTGAGAAACTCACTGGTTTCACTCCTGCACAGGAAAAARACACAAACACAGATTAATATTAGCAGCATACAGCTCAAGTTAGAACTTTCTTATAAACACACACATACACATATATATATAC